TATTTAAATAGGCATGCATAGTTTAGTTCACTTGAATGTGTTATTTATAACAATAGTAGTTTTTTTCTTTGAAAAAAATAATTATTTATAATGCTCCCTAAATAATAAAAAATAAATTATAGTAATAGATGAGAGTGAAAAAGCTTGTAAATACATGACGATCCCTGTTTAACGCGGAGCAGAATAAGGCCGTTTCAGGCCTAACATTAACAAATAAAAAATCGTTTTTGAGTGCTTGCCTTGGATTCAAATGTGCAATGCGCTTGACCAATCAGAGGGCTTAATGCAATTAGCATCTGTAGTCGCCTAATCGGTATTTCAATTTTCATTTGATACTCAGCAGTCTGGCAAGTGCTTACTGTCAAGTTGGATGCGTTACCGAAAGCCGACGTATCGTATCTTAGGCCTCGTGAGCAAAATAGTTGTTTCTTCATTTTTCGTTCTCTTTTTTCACCCGTTACGATGTCTAAAGAAAAGAGACTGTCATACACAACTAAATTTAAATTAAGTGTGATTAATTATGCAAAAGAGCATGGAAACAGAGCTGCCGAAAGATATTTTGGTCCTCCATCAACAAAAAAAATGATTCGTTGCTGGTGCGAACAAGAAGTAGAATTGAAAATAATTAAAAGTGACAAATGCAATTTCCAAGGAAAAAAAAACAAAATGGCAAGATCTCGAAAATAAACTGTATGAATAGGTCGTGGATCAGAGAAGGCAAGGACTATCCATTTCTACAAATATGATAATTTTTAAAGCAAAGAGGATTGCATGTGATAATAGTTTAGAAAATTTTACTGGTCATACATCGTGGTGTTATTGGTTCATGAAATGCAAAGGCCTAGTTATGAGAACTAAAACGGAAATTGCTCAAAGAATGCCCGATGAGTTTGAGATGAAAATTTGTGCTTTTCACAAGTATATTATACAGTTAACAAAAAAAAACTCCATTTAAATTGTATCAAATAGCAACCATGGATGAAACAACTTTAACTATTGATGTTCCAAGCAATAGAACAACTGATATTAAAGGTACTAAAACTATTACTGTTAAGACTACTGGACATTAAAAAACGCATTATACAGTGGTGCTATATTACCAGCAAAGTTCATTTTTAAAAGAAAAACAATGTCCAAAGAAAATTTACCCAGTGGTGTCTACGTTCACGTACATGAAAAAGGAAGGATGGATGAAGACAGAACACTACTTTGGTTTGAAAAAATTTGTTTGAAACGTCCAGGAGGCTTATTAAAAAAGCCTTCTCTCCTCGTCTGGGATTCCTTTAGAGCTCATAAAATGGAAAAAATAAAGGAAAAAGCTAATGAGCTAAAAACACAGCTGGCTCTTATACCCAGCAGTTTAACAAGTCAATTGAAACCTCTCAATGTTTCTATTAACAAACTCTTTAAGACTTTAATGAGAGAGGAATGGAACAACTGGATGCAGCAGGAAGATTTGCTACGAACCCTACAGGACGAAGGAAATAACCAACACTAGCTCAGGTCTGCATATGGGTGAAGAATTCGTGGGAAAAAGTAAAAAGTGATATAGTGATTAAGTCATTTAAGAAATGTGGTATCAGTAATGCAATGGATGGGACCGAGGATTACATTCTCTTTGACCATAATATTGGATCCAATGATTCCTTTCCAAGCGACAGTGAAAACAATGAAGATTTTGTAGGTTTTGAACAAACTAAATAACAGTAAACCTTTTTTTGATTTATGGTATTTTCTTATTTTGACGTTTTGAGCTCTTTTGTGTTTAGAACAATATATATAATTTTTAAAGTATCAAATTGAATTTTTGTTCAATAAAAGTCTTTCAAATGCAACTGTAGCTTT